ATTAGACGGTGTTGATCACGTGTTCTTACATCTCGCCACAGTTGGCTGACGATATAAGGTATATAAGCTCAGGTAACCGTTTGTTTTGGGTGTGTTCAACAGTGGAACTTTCACTACACCAAATTGCCCGACACTGATAAGACCCCCAATATAGGTTGAAACCATGATACAACAAACCGAAGGTATGACATCTAGGCTAGATGATCTAGCGGTCCAAAACTCGTCCGCTTCGCGCAGTGACGTCAGTTCGAGAGTGATTTTAAATGAACATAGCGGAAACAAGTCATTTATTTACCCTTTTAGGTGGAAATAAGTATCAATCAAAAATCATAAATACACATTCAATTTGCATCTTTAGGAGGAAATTCTCATTAATGTAATATATTAATTGATTTGAAAAGCCATTATAATACCTAGTAATTAGTATAGTATAGTATAGTAAAATATTGCTGAATTTTATTTACACTTTTAAGTGAAAATTATATTATAAATTAATTACATTAAAAAAATAATAAATAAATAATTTATAGTATATTATGTATCAAGTTTGATAAACGCCATTTTATACACGAATTTAATTTAGGCACGAGCGAGCTTGCGAGCGAGTTCTTAAATTAATCAGTGTATAGAAAAGTTTATAAACGAGGTCCATACTATACTTTTTCTACGACAAATACTTAATATTATCTTAAAATGATTTAAATCAAAAATTTGTATAGAGCGCCATCTATGAAACAACAGGGGAAACTGTCAAATGTCACATTTTTACATTTTATAAACACAATTATAAAGGTAATAAATCGAAATGTATATTGAAAATTGACAGTTTTTCAAAGTGAAAGTAAAGGAAATGTTTTATGAGAACTTTACAGTAGAGTCCGTATCCGAATTTAAGTTATAGTTTACTGCCGGCAAAATTAAAAGGTCAGTACAATGTTCATATAAACTTTTCAAATATTGGCGTTGAGAAACTATTTAATATTTTTGTATTGAGATAATAAAATAATTTTCACATTTAGTATTATTTTACAAGAAAGGCACTTTATTTTAACGATTGTATGACATTTGACAACTGTCAACTAACTTAAAACTAACTTCAGCCCGTGACTAAAAACCTGTTGCTAACTTTAGCCCATGACTAAAACGCCGTAAAGCCACAACTTGTCAATGTGTATTTAAAAGGTCACTTAGTGTCATGGAAACATGTACGATAAAGGGCGTTTTAAAGGTGGGAGTGGAAAAATATATTTATGCTGTACTATTTAGATTTAAATATTATTAATAAACAAATTCAAATTACATTTTAGAGGTAAAATAATAATAATAATTTAATATGCATATTATTTATAATTTCTGCAAATTATATGAAAGAGCAAATTTTTGGCATTATTTTGAACAATAATATTATTTTTGGGTATTATTTTAATGCATAAAATAATTGAAGCAACAAATAAAAATAAATAAAACAATATACATATTAAGGCAGTGTTTATTTTTAAATTTACAGATAAAATTCCAGTAAGGTTTTTATATATTAATAAATTTATTTAAAAAAATACAATGGCTTTATGTGCAACAAAATTTAAAATAAAAAACACAATCTGGCTGAAAATATTGAAATAAAATCTTGTTTCGTTTTATTGTCTTTAGGAAACGTATTGTTACTAATACACCCAAACACAGTACACTTCATTATTAATCAAAAATAATAGAAAAAATCTCGTATAACTGAACGCACGTGTTGAAATTCAACGGTAATCTAGGCTAGATTATCTAGCGGCGAAATAAATTCCAACTCTCTTTCTGACGTCATGACGTGTCACTAAGCCACGCCTCCCTGCACGAAATCATACCTTTGGTTTGTTGCATGGTACGGTACCATGCAACAAACCAAAGGTATGATTTCGCGCAGGGAGGCGTGGCTTAGTGACACGTCATGACGTCAGAAAGAGAGTTGGAATTTATTTCCATTGGTACCATGGTTTGTTGTATCATGGGTTGAAACAGCTGTCTGTGGTATTTATAGTGGAACGCACTCAAAACAAAAACTCTGGCGAGGTGAGGGTTCAATTCTTTCTCTTTACTTATATAGAATTTTACTTTTACATTTTAGAATGTTAACCCAACCGTTTTGGAACATTAGCGAAAATTATTTTAATTTAACATTTTATTGGTGTTAAGTGAATATGCTAAAAAGGTTACCTGGACATTTCAAGAAATTTACCTTAAATTAACCAAATTAGCAGATTAGAACAAATATTCTCATTTTGTTCATTTGACTGTTATTTGTTGTTCAATTAAACAATACAATTTGACATTTTTAGATGGTTAAGTAAACGTGCAAAAACCATTGCTTGTATTTAAAGTGCATAAAGAGTTGAATTAATATTTTTGTTGTTGTTTCAACAGCTTATTTTTTTCAGTTTATTTGTTATATTTGTGATGTATGCTCATTATGTATTACTTTGGTAATTATGTTGAGTAAAAATATTTGGACATCAGTGGATACTAAAATTGAAGTACCTGTTATCATTTATCATATTTACGTCGATACGAATTTAAAGTAACACTACATATTATGTACTAGATACCTACTTAAATTGGTTTTTTGTTTAAAACAATAAGATAAGAATGAAGTATTATTGATTAATTATTAATCTAGGTATAATAATAATAATAATTTTTATTTGCCCAACAGAAATTAATCCTATTACAGGACAATAATTATAATAATAATAATAATAGATACAAATGCATTCATAAAAGAAACAACTAAAAATAAACCTAAGTGTGTTTTAAAACAAAAGTTGATTATGTTATATAATTATATGATAAATAAATAAATAAAATAATTGGTTAATCTTAAAAATAATTCACTATAATTGTAGAAATATCTTACATATTGCCAAAAGATCGCTTAACTTACAAAAGAATAAATCACAATCCAAGCTAACATTATTAAAGTTTAAGCACATTGTATGTATCGGAGATTTTTTTAAGTATGTTGGTCCTTGCTAAACCAGGATAGAATGTAAGAGTTTGACGCAAGTTTACTCTAGGTACAAATAAATTTAGAAAGTAAAGCTGAATCATGCATTAATTTATAAAGAAAGATTTGAGAAGTTATAAATCTTCTGCTCGAAAGCATTGGCATTTCAAATCTACTCGTCAAAACTAGTGGGTCTGATCCTCTTATTGGATAGACGCCATCAACCTTAAATGTTATATATTTTAAAAATCTTCGTTGTACCCTTTCAACTGCATTAATATGATTATTATAGCAAGAATACCAAATCAAGGAGGCATACTCCAGCTTTGTTCTTACTAAAGTAGCGTAAAAAACTTTAAGGGTATTTAAATTGGTAAATTTACCACAGTTTCTCATTATAAAGCCTAATATTTTCATTGCTGAATCACTAGTGATATTAATGTGCTCTGCAAATGACAGTGTGCTGTCAAATGTTACACCCAGATCCTTAACAGAACAACATCTGGAAAGACTGCAATTACTCAGTGAATAATTAAAGACCAAAGGACCTAACTTTAATGTAAATGTACACACCATACATTTACTAATACTCAGACTTAGTTTGTTAGCTAACTAGTTATGCACCAGTTTTTCAGTATATTTAATTGTCCTTGTAAAAAATAACAGTTGATTTAACTGGATAAAAATTTTTTAGATCATCGGCAAACAATAGGCATTCACAATTAAGTAACTCTGGAAGATCATTTATAAAAAGGTTAAATAAAAGTGGACCTAAATTTGAACCTTGAGGTACTCCAGATGTTGCAGTATACTTAATTGATCTGTGTCCATTGTATAAGACACATTGCTCTCTATTGTATAGCTATACCTAGGTAAGAGGCAAACAGAGTAACTAGAGGTTTACTAAAACCTATTTTCTGCAACTTATTTAGCAATATAAAGTGATCAACTCGATCAAAGGCCTTCGAGAAGTCTGTATATACAACGTCAACTTGTTCTTTACGATCTGTTTTCAGCTATGCCATACATTGTATTGACTAAAAGTGGCTAAGTTAGTGACAGTTGAACGCTTTGTCATGAATCCATGCTGCATTAGAGAAATAAGAATCTTGGCTTGGTTGAATAAAGTTGTATAAACACACATCTCGAATAACTTTGCAATTTGCATAAAATAGAAATAGGACGGTAATTTGTAACAATACTTTTGTCACCAGACTTAAAGATTGAAAAAAATTTGGCCAGTTTTTATTATATTGTTGAAAATTAAAGTAAGTGGTTTAAAAAAAATAACTCCACAATCCCTTACTAGAAAACTAGGCAACAAGTCCAGATGTGTTTTTATTTAAAAGTTTTTTTAAAGTATTATTAAGACTGCTTGAATTAAAATTTATGTCGTTATTTTTAGGAGAATATACAAATCCATTAACAATATGTGAAGGGGTATCATATGTTGTATCTACATTGACTAATCTACCCGGAATTCTAGTATTTCCTTTTTTTTTTGTTTACAAAATCCCAAAATTGCTTAGGATTAGTGGTTAATTTAGATTCTACAGTTTTAATATAATTTTTGTATGACTTGTTTATATCTTCTTTAGTGATTTGTCTAAGTCTCGCAAATTCAGTTCGGTAAAGTTCAATTTTAGTTTTCTTATATCTGTTATGATAGTAAAGCTTTAATTTTTAATTTTTAATAATGTTTATATCAAACCATGGGGGATAATGATTATTTTTACATTTACATATATGTAGTGGAACAAAGGTTTCTAAAATTGGTTACAAGTTGAATTTGTATCTGATAAATTGTTATCATACTTATACTATTTTTATCTAAAATTTATACCAAAAAAATACTAAAACATATAGGTATTCAAATAAATAATTATTTTAAATTATGTATTGCACAAATCTTTAAAATTAACAATATTCATCATAAATTTACCATTTTCAATAGTTGAAATTAATGCTCTCTTCGAGAATAATACATAACGAATACATAAAAACTAATTTATTTATATTAAAATTTTATTGTCTTTATAAACATAAAAACATTGGTTGACTGAGGTAAAACCTAATACATTATACAGTCCTATAAATATAAAGTCTTGTTAAAAGGTAAATTCTCATATAACTTGTTTCGATGCTGTATCCACTTATTTTTGTGAAAACTAATTCTCGCTCAAGGTTTTTTTTAGTGTAATGAGCAAGTAGCATTTTAAGGTAATGGGAACTTAAATTATGACAACCCTAATCTATAAATTTTTTCCTAAAATGCAGGCTTTATGTTGCAAATGTCACATAAGTTACCGGTCACCAACTGCAATATCCTAACATTGATGAATATTTTAACAAAATGGCTGTTGAAACAACTAATGTTAGTGCTTGATTAACTCAAAATAGACTTAATTAAGATTGACGAAAAATTCTTTTATCCGAAATCGGCAGTAAAGTAGAACTTTACTGCCGATTTATTTTAATTTACGATTGTTGACTACTTTACTGCCGATTTCGGATAAAATAATTTTTTGTCAATCTTAAGTCTATTTTTAGTTAATCAAGCACTAACATTAGTTGTTTGAACGGCCATTTTGTTGAAATATTCATCGATGTTAGGATATTGCAGTTGGTGACCGGTAACTTATGTGACATTTGCAACATAAAGCCTGCATTTTAGGAAAAAATTAATAGATTAGGGTTGTCATAATTTAAGTTCCCATTACCTTGAAATGCTACATGCTTATTACACTAAAAAAAACCTTGAGCGAGAATTAGTTTTTACAAAAATAAGTTGATACAGCATCGGAACAAGTTATATGAGAATTGACCAAAATAACAAGTATTAAATTTAAAAAAAAACTTAAAAAATTAATTTTTTCTATATTTTGTACAGAAGACAATTATTACAAGTTAAATAGTACGTTTATACAAATAAAAACTATTAAAACCAAACTATTTGGTAAATTAATTGCAGAATCATCCGTTAGTCCATTTTGGGAATTAATTAATTCTATTAAATCGTTGTTTAACAGAGTTGTAACATCTTTGGCCCAGAGAAAATCTAAATGCGTAAAATTATTTGGTAATAGAGTCTTTCGTACCAAATTTGGTAATTCTTTTGCCAGTCTTTCCACATCCTAAAAATTAAGTCCAATATAAATAATGTTTTATAATAAATGACACTATTTAATCGAACTTTCCTTCCCAACCAAAAAAAAAATTAATCTTTAACAAATGACAAATAAGACTAGCAAAATTTGCCAAAAATTAAATATAAATATATTAGGGAAAAAACTACTTTTTATAATAAATTTCATCAACTGTTGGATAAAGGCCTATTTATATTGTAGCCAATTCTTTATAAAATATAATCTCAATTAATTTTTAATTGTTATGCCAAAATCTAGCCATGTGTAATTTTATAAAAACCGATAAACAGTTGAAATAACAGTCTATCAATTTTAAAATTTAAGTGTACTTTTCGTAAATTTTGTCCAAATTTAAGTTTTATATAGGTAATTTTTCCTATACGTTTTTCTAATACTTGGGATTAAAAAAAAACTACAGTAAAATAATGACATACCTTGTAAGATGCCAAATTATCCGCTAGGCCATAATACAAAGCCACGGGAGCAGTTATGAGTCTAGTATTATAGCTTGGAGGTTTATCTTGATTGTATATTATTCTGTTTTTAATAATACCGTGGTCGTATTGTCTAAAATAGCCTACAAAAAATAACTTAATTGGATTTAAACTTAAAGTATTGTGTTCTTCTTCACTCAACGCTTAAAGTATATGAACGTACCTGAGTAGATTTCTTGAGTAAAGTGCATAAATTGTTTGTATGATGCTCCTGCCGGAACGTTGGACAATATAACTGGCAACATCGACTAGAAAAGTATGTATGTATTAAAAAAAACTGAAATTTGTATAAAAAAGTTAGTTATATTATAATAAATTTATTATATATATATTTATATTTTATATGTAAACTAAACTGCGCACCACTCAATGTGTCGCGACCAAAAAGTTCGTTCTTTTTCAAAACGACATAACTTTTTTGTTTCTTGAACGATTTTATTTTGGTCTGTGATGTCTGCTAGCCTCATCCACTGGTAATTCATGCTATAGATATGAAGCTCACGGTTCGTCAAGTAAATTTCCTACAGGGTGATATGTTAAACGGTGAAAAATTTCAATAACTTCATCCAAGCCCCGTTTGTAAAAAAATAATTGTTTTCTCGTTTTTATTTTGAAATAATGAAGTATTATGTGTTACCTTGAAACGTCTTTCAAGTTTTTCGAATTGAAATCTTAGCAACGATGATATGATTTTTTTTCGGATTTTATTAAGACATTTAACAGCCGGAAATTGTTTTTGAATTTTGATTCTTGGTGATTTTGGTTTTATCTGAAACTTAAATTTGACAACTGAATCACAACCAGGAGGTCAAAATTATACAGAAAACATGCCACGAACGTAAAGATCGGTTCAGGTTTAGTTTTCGCAAATTTTTATCAAAATGTCATTTTGAAAAAGTGGTCTTTACTTAGGCCCCTTTAAAAATAATGGAAGTTTGTTGCTTGTCGCTTGTTCAGAATTATTCAAGGAACAATATTTCACCATCTTATTTTCTTGTTCTTAAAAAGACTGAGTGTATTGCCTACCAAAAAGCCTTAAATGTACTCTTTTGTAAAAAAAAATCAGATTTTCGTTGCTAAGATTCCAATTCGAAAAATTTGAAAAAGGTTTCAAGGTAACACATAATACTTCATTATTTCAAAGTAAAAACGAGAAAAAATATTTCTTTTTTCAAACGGGGTTTGGATGAAGTTATTGAAATTTTACACCGTTTTACATATCACCCTGTAGGAAATTTACTTGAGGAATCCTGGGCTTAATATCTATAGCATGAATTGCCAGAGGATGGGGTTAGCAGACATCACAGATCAAAATAAAATCGTTAAAGAAACAAAAAAGTTATGCCGTGTTGAAAAAGGACGAACTTTTTGGTCGCGACACATTGAGTGGTGCGCAGTTTATTATGTTAATAAATAAATAAATAAAGGTTGCTTTTTAAAACTAACAGCAAAACTAAAAAAATACCAGAATGTATTTCTTCTACTCCCAACTTTATAACAAGCAATATCCCATGACATTGGGTGATCTTTTATATACTCACTATGTTATTGTCTGAGTGTTTTTTTACTTATCTAAACTATTTGTTTAGTCTAAAAACAATTAAAAAGAAAATCCCATGCCGTTTTAATGACATTTTCATTACACAAATGTGTCTTGTGTTAAACGGTATAGAAATTTTTTGTTTCAAAATTATTTTTAAACTGAAACATATGATTTACCCAAGTACCAATGCACAGACCTTGCATCTTACGCAAGCTTCTTAGGCGTATTGAAAATACATGATACAAAACTAAAACTTTTGTTTTAGGTACACAGAGAAAAGTAATCTCTTGATTTAAGAAAATGCATTTATTTGAAACAGTTTTTCTTGTATGAAGTAAAATTGTCTTATTCGTAGTAACTTCTTGTTTACAATAAGAAAATACTATTATTTTTTGGTTGTAAATCATGAGTTTCTTGAAAACAACTTATTGTTGTGATTAATTGTAAAGAAATATTTATTTAGAGCAATTAATTAAATTGTTTGGATATAGGTTGTAGGGATTTAGTTTTATCAAATGTTAATACAAGGGTCATTCCACGTTACTCGGGGATTTTTGTCCCGCCCGTCACAATTAAAAATTGTGAGTAAATACTACACGTTATAAAATTTATTTAAAAATATTGTTTTATTATGCTTTTAATAAGTTATAAGCACAATAAAAATAATATTATAAAATATTAATTTTATAACTTGTGGTTTTTACTCACAATTTTTAATTGTGACGGGCGGGACAAAAATTACCGAGTAACGTGGAATGCCCCACAAGCATATAATATCTTATTTTAACAAAATAATAGAATTGATACAAGTAAATGTTTTGTTTCTTTAAGTAAGATAAAATGTCAACTAAATATTTATAAATATATACTTGTATTAAACAAACCATCAGTTTAAAAAGTCAAATAAACCCAAGTTTTCCACTAAATAAATATCTTCTTGTATCATATCGAAATAAATAATTTATTTGAGTCGACAGATATAGTAAAATCAAGAGATTACTTTTCTCTGTGTACAATGGCGTAGCGAAGGAGCCCTGTATCAAAAATCTGGCGGGCTCCTATACGGGAAAAAATTACCAGGTGCCACGTTCAAATAAGTCTATCTTTAGCTAACAACAGTTTGTTGTCTACTGAACGTAAAATTCTTTTACATTCGTTGCCATGTAAGCAAAGTTCTTTTGCATGCTTTGTTATATACGCAAAATACTTTTAAATCCATTACAACATATTCTCTTTGCATTATTTATAAACTGTTTTTGAAAAAATGTTGCTTGAAACTCGATTGCAAAATTCTTCTTCTCATAGAATATAATTTTCTACCAATATTTAATGTAATATTTATTTTGATTACTCATGTCGGAGCCACTCCAGGGCCCCTCTAGCCAGGGACCACATTGTCTGGAATGTATAATATCCGCAATGTTTTCTGGAAGTTCTATACACAGAGTTTCTTCAGCAACGCATGCATTAAAATTCTAGCTGCGATATGAGATTTCCTATCTCTGTTTCCATGTGCACATTTAATTTAAATATTTTACAGAGATGGGGAGTTTTCGTGAATTGTTCAAACAGTATAAAGGCCTGCATTTTATATGTATTTTTGTAATTTCTTTTTTTACGAAGTAGTAATTTTACTATGGGTTGCTATATTTTTTACTAGATAAAGGTAAAACTATCCTAGAAGCATAATGGATTTGTTTACTTTTTCCTTACAATTATTACAAAATTTATACGACCATAGGACCACAATCCATTATTGATTATTGATTGTGCATAGGACCATATATTTTTCTTTTGGCAGCCATGAGTCTACGATATTGACATGTCATGTTTGTGAGAGATCAAACACTTCTTTTTCACATATAAATTCCTAATTTATGAATTTATTTATTAATTTCCCAATAAGATTCCTCAAAACCCTTAAAAATTTATATTTTCTATTAAGGGTAAACTTAACTGACCCCTTTTCTATACTAAAAAATACAAACTAAAGCAAACTTATGCAATCCATTTTAATTTATTTTAAATAATGTTTTTTGTAAAGTTTAAAATTTTCCACAAAAATATGGTTTCTATATTGTTGCTTGTCCAAAATATTCATAACTGGTTAATAACAAGTTATGAATATTTTCTTATGTCAATAAAATATAATTTAGGCAGGTTTATATGACATCGGATTTTTTTAAAATTGTTTTCAGAGTAAAAAACAACTTGGGAAATAACGGAGGGTCCGAACACCGAGTATAGTACACTGTGCTCGGAAAGCAATTTTAAATGAGAAGGTATATTTTATGAAATTCATTGCAACAATAAAAATCATATTTTGTTTGTTTTAGAATCGCTTAAAATTTCCGTTTTTATGAAAATATTCAATTTATAACAATAAATCGGATTTTTTGAAAATATTAACTTATCAATATAGGTAAGTTAATATTTTCAAAAAATCAATTTCAATAAAAAGTTCAGTCAGTAAAAGCAATACGTTTTTTAACTGCTAAAATATTAAAATGATGCCATTAGGGCATACAAAATATTTTTTATTAACATATATTTTTGCAATAAATACATAAAAACAAAAAAATTTCATGAAATTTTTCTTTTCATTTAAAGTTGCTTCCCAAGTGCCTAATACACAAATTGACTTTATTCCTTTTTTATATGAATAAAAAGGGTAATTCTCTGCAATTATATTTATTATATTTATTATTTTTATATTCCTACTAGTTTCGGCCTAGGCCATCCTTTTAGTCACGGGTAAGATTTTAAAATTTCCGGAAAAATTGAGCCGGCGGAAAAAACTGTTTTATTCACGAAAAAAAAACGGAAAAATTGTGACATTTTCAGAAAAATTTACAAATTTTTACGGATACTATTCGTACACTGATATCGAGAAAAAAGTGAATTTTCGACGCTGAATATAATCATAATATTATGATTATAATAATTATTTCTTATTTTAATTCAGTAAAAATATTCTACCGGGTGGCAAAAAAAACAAATTCGGCGCTGAATTAACATAACTTTTGTTTCATTTAATAGTTCGATTTATAAAATTATAATTTTGTAATTTAACTTTATAAATCATTTGTTATTTTGTAATTGGTATATTAAATTTTAACGTTTACGTTTATTTTCTTAAATCAATTTAATGTAATGTTTAGTTTTATTTTTTTTCTGTAAGAATATTTTTTTAATTAAATTATAGATGATTGCCACTTTTTTTAAATGTGTATATTTTCCAAAAACAAAATCAGTTTTTCCCAAAAAAGCCAAGGCCTGAAAAAAACGGATTTTTTTCAGGCCTTGAAACCCTAGTCACGGGATGAAGTTAGCTTTGAGTTAGTTGTCACTCAGTTGTCAATTATCATACAATTTGTTTTGTCCTCAAAATTAAAAATTAATTTTTGTGTCGTCGTAGAAAAACCTATGCAATTCATTTTATAAGCTTCTCTACACACTCATTTATTAAACACTTACTCCACAAGTGTCTAAACTCGTGACTAAAATGCAGTTTATAAAACTTGTTGCCAACTTTCGCCAGTGACTAAAACGCACGAAAGCCACAGCTCGTGGAGCCTATACAGGCCCCATGTATCAATGTGTATTTGAAACATCACTTAGCGCCATGGAAACATATACGATAATCAGGCCAATTCACATGAGTCGTTAACTTTACCACTAGAATTAGTGGTTATCGTTATATTTAATCGACTTGATTGGTCGGATTGGCCGATAACTACTGATTCTATAGTGGCCAACTTTAACGAGTTATGTTAGTGAATTGGCCTGAAACAGGACGATTAAATATAATGATAACCACTAATTCTAGTGGCTGAATGTGTGTTTTAAAGATGGGAGTAGAAAAATGTACTTTTTAACCCTAAAGGTTAAAAATTGAAAAACGAGTGTACACATAAAATTTTATAAAAAAATAGGTATAGTTTTATAAAGAATACTTACCAAGTCAAATTGTTCTTCATCTCTACCACCCAAGAAGAAATATATTTCCTTACAAATTACATTAAGCTTAGAGTTTTCCACACAGACAGTCTTGCCGAATTGCGTAAAAAAGTCACTATGTGGGAGTACATTATACCATTTTATAGTTTCTGCAAATAACTAAAAATGTATGTTATTAACAATCTTAATAACATACTTACATTTTTATTGTTAATTTAACATGTATTAATTTGAGAGTTTTTCATATAATTTTGGCTACATTTGGGTATTTCTACGTTAAGAGGTCATTTTTTTTTATTTAAACAGCTACTTTGTAAATATCCATATCGTGTTTTAGAAGAAACCAGGGGATATACTCTATACAGGGAAAAGACAATGTTAGGATTTAATATTAATAGGGCCTTGTCAGAAATCACTTTCATAAAAAAACGTTACAATAAGTAATTTCTAATTTGATTTTAAATGTTACCGCCTAAAATAATAAAGCTAAACAAGATGGTCAGCCAGACAAGGTGCTATTAAAGCTTAAATAGGTAATTATGTTTTATTACTTATGGGTCTAATATAAATTCTTTACATGAAGATTATGATCAAAGCGGTAATACACGTACCAAAGCCCAAAATGTATCAACATGAGGAAGCCCCACAAAATGTTTTGCTTGGGCCCCTGCGAGCTTAATCTTGCACTGACTAAAATACACGTACTAACCACTAAACAAATATGATTTGACGTATTCATATCTTCCCTAGACATTTTGGGAAAGTATGGAAAAACAGAAATGCTAAAAAAACAGGCATGGGCGAATCATATCGGATTTTACCCGCGATTGCTTGCAATTCTTCTATGTCTGCATTCATTTGGTTTTATCCGCAAAGGTCTGATTTTGTCCGATTTTATCGGCGATTGCCTGCATTTGGATTTATGTTTGCATTTATCCGGTTTTATCTAGGATTTCCTGCATTTATTTTTATATTTGCATCCACCCGGTTTTATCCACAAATGTCTGCATTTGGTTTGATGTCTGAATTTATCCGGTTTTATCCGCAAATTCCTGCATTTGATTTTGTGCTTACATTTATCTGGTTTTATCTTAAATTGTCTGAATTTATCCGGTTTTATCCGCAAATGCCTGCATTTGGTTTTATATCTGCATTCATCCGGATTTATTCACAAAGGCCTTCAATTGGTTTTATGTCTGCATTCAACTGGTTAAATTCGCAAATGTCTGATTTCATTTGGTTTTATCCACGATTGCCTGAATTTCGTTTAATGTCTGCATTCATCAGAATTTATTCGGAAATGCCTGAATTTGGGTTTAAGTCCCCATTTATCTGGTTTTATCCAAAAATGTAGGATTTTATTAAGTTTTATTCGCGATTATCTTCATTTTGTGTCATGTCTGCATTCATCCGAATTAATACGCAAATGCCTGTATTTTCCCTTGATTTTACTCGCGTTTGATTATTTAATTTTCGTCCGATATACAGTATGTTTCCGGATTGAGCTTACAAGCTTACGACGGAAATTATAAATTTGTTTTTTTCCTAGGTTTTAGTTTATCCAGAGAAAATAAGAGGAATATTTTAAACATTTTATTAAGAATTACCTGTCTGGAAAAATCAAAAATAAAAATGCCTCGAGGCATAAGATCTTATCTTCTCTGGATTAACTTAATCCTAGAGAGAAAAAATCGGCTTTTAATTTATGTTGTAATTTTTGTATTAAAACCTTATTTTTAGTAACAAACAACTGTTTCTTAAAAAAAAAATTTAAAATAAAATAAAAATAAAACGGCTGAAGGACTACGGTCAATAGCCTTTGAACTTGGTTTTAGTTCAATAAAGCATTATTATTATTAAAAATAAAGGCACTTCATGTTTTCCTAATTTTTGAACACCCTGTAGATACAAAACTTTTTTTTTATGTCAATGTTTGTTGAGACTTTATTTAAAATGTAAAGATAAACGAAGCAGATTGCATCAACGATTGACAATTAAAGTTTTATAAGGTTCAAGTTTAGTTTGTATTAACAAATATACGAAATACACAAGTGCAAGCAAGTTTTATTAAAATCCTAAACCAGAGGTATATGGAACGCCGTTTTACTATTTAATAACATGCAATTATGCTATATGAAAAAAATAAAGCTTTTATAGAGAAAATTTAAATATTATAGGTACATAGTTTTGGCAATTATCATATATTGCAAGAACTCAAAGAGTTTTGCCAATTATCGTATGTTGCAAAAACCGAAAGAGTTGTATTTACATTAAAGGATGTCACTAATCCCAGTAAGCACAAGCTAGCCGGCCCGCATACGGCCCGAATACGTTTTGCCGAATCGGCCGCGTGCGGCCCGACACATGTATTCCGGCCGTAAGCGGGCCGGCTAGGGCAAGCCGAACGATTTTGCAGCGGCATGCCGTATTCTGGCCGACTTTGGTTAGAACATGGCTATACGGTACCGGGCTAACATAACGCGGGCCATAAGCGAAACGACTGGGGGCAAGCCGCCTATGCCGAGCAAAGGCCGACTGTTTGCTAAGTGTTTGGTGCTTACTGGGATAGTTTTGGAGACTTGCAGATATTGTATAAATACTTATTGCAACACTTGAATGTTGAAAAAACTTAAAACTTTACTTAAAATACAAGTAATCCATTCGACTTTTGGCAATATACGAATGTTGTAAAAAGTATGACAGACCTGTCTAGGGGAAACAAAAAACACTAGATTTAAGGATTTTAAGGTGTTGTACATTGCGGGTGATTGTGGCCGGATGCAGTTATCAAATAAACGTTAATTTAATAAATGTATAAAGGTCTCATCATTTTTTCAACAAATACTTCAAATCAGTAATAAAGAATAAATAAATTTATATTAAAATATATTATGTTAAAAACCAAATATAGCTAACATGGCGATCCTTAATTTATTGTGCACATCGTTTAAAAATAAGTGTGTTGACTTATTTTTTAATTTACGTTTGCCCATGCAGCAGGGTACGCAGAAATTACAGTAAATTACAAATAAAATTAATTATTTAGATAAATTATAACAAAATAAAACTTAACAAGACCATGTTAACTCAAACTTCACAACTACTGGTGTTTAATCGTCAATTAAACAAATGTAATATCTAATACTTTCCAAAATTTTATATTTAATATTTTTTAATTTTTATTATTTTAATTTTTTATATTTAAATAATTTAATATTTCGAAGCGGTGACCGACCCAAAGGTGCTGAGCCTACAAAATCAGTACCAATTAATCGGTCATCGCCGTTAAAACTGCATATTTGCACATTGTTTAAATTATCTAGTTGCTACGTCACATTAGAATTATGTATAAATAGGAATTAATTTAATAAAACTTTCTCTCTTTCAACCACAACCAGCCTATCATTCACATCTACCTAACTACCCTCAACATTCCCTAAACTCTACAAGAGTTTACATGGTCCTTCGAACTCAAAAATAATCAGTGAGCGGTAAGCAAGACCAGGGTTTTCTTCCCTGCACTCACTTACTGATTATAAAATAAGCCAACCAGGGTAACAAACCCTTAAATTCAGTGGGCGGTAAGCAAGACCAGGGGTTTCTTCCCTGCACTCACCCACTGAGGTTAGCTAAACAAGACCAAGCTCTATTAAGACGTGGGCAGTAAGCAAGACCAGGGTTTTCTTCCCTGCACTTACCCACAGACTAATAGTGCCAATTCACACCCTTCCTTCCTGCACCCATCCTTAAACTTCCCTAAATTCTGCAAGAAGACATCCCACAAACTAAAAACAGCAACATCAAAACCCAGCACAATGGAGGAAACCAACAAAATAGTGGCCAAACAAGAAGAAATTGGGCAAGCCATCTCCAAGCTATTGTCTAATTCAAAAAAGGACTCGTCCATAAGAAAAACACCCCAATATATTACGGAAAGGACAGCCAAAATCGACGAATTAGTACAACAATGTGCAGAAAACAACAAGAAGTTAGAAGAATTGAAGTGTACCTCCCACGTATACTTTACTACTAAGTATTATGAACAAATACTAAACAAGGCAGAAGAAACTAGAAAATAACTATCGACTTGTGCCAAAGAAACAGAAGTACAAAGTGAAACAAACAACGAACAGATTATTATTCTCCGTAAACAAAAACTACGCCTAAACTCCCTAAAACGCAACTTAAAAAGTTTAGGAACAGAACTTATGGTAGATAAACCAAAGTACAGATATGAAAATCTGATGAAAAAACTGTCGAGCCAGTGGAGTTCACTGCAAGAACTTCACGAAGAGCTGATAGTTCACGAAGACAAATTTACTGACCAGTACTTCCAGGATTAACAATTTGAAGAAATAGAACTAATTTATGATGAATATGTGGAGAAACTAGAAGAAAGAATAGCAGAAAGCAACAATGAGAGTAAACCAAACCTCTCATTACCAAAAATACAACTTCCACACTTCAAAGGCGGATACGAAAACTGGGCAACATTTCATGACATATTTACTAAGGTCATTCATGAGAACAAGACAATCTCACGCATTGAAAAAATGCAATATCTAAAAGCACATGTCCGAGAAGAAGCCAGCCGACTGATCTAACATCTTCATATTACCGATGGAAATTATGAAGCAGCCTGGGAACTTCTCAAAAAACGATACGAAAATACACGAATAATAGTCAGCAAACTAGTTGATCAAATCCTGGATCTTCCAAAAATTCAAGGTGAATCCACAAAACAATTACAAAGATTACATGATGTAACAAATGAATGTCTCAAAGCGATTGACAATTTGGGCATTTCAACAGAACCATGGGGTCCATTGATTGGAAGAATTATCAGTCGAAAATGGGATGAAGAAACGAACAGGCTCTACGAACAATCATTATAAAACCCGACCCAAGTTCAAACACTAGCTTCGAAAATGAGCTTCTTAGAAAGAAGATTCCAATCGTTAGAAGCAACAAAAAATTACACAAAACCGATGTTTCACAAAAACACGCATAACACTTCCAACGTGAACTACAATACAAAGGAAAAAACACTATCATGCACCATGTGCCAACAAACGCATGCCATAGTAAGATGTCCAAAATTCCTGTCAATGAATGTGGCAGAGCGAAACGAATTTGTCAAGTCACAGAAACTGTGCTACAATTGTCTTGGTCACAGTTCGGAAGAGACTTGCTACAGCAAATGGAGTTGCAGAACATGTAACAAACAGCACCACACATATTTACATACGGAAAAACAACCACAAAAATATGTAAACAAATTATTTGGATCAAAACAAGATAGTCAAACAAAAATAACAAACTATCAAACAACGAATAAACACCAAGAAGAACGTGTAGTTCTTTTGGCCACAGCTCTAGTCCGAGTCAAGGCAATAAATGGAAGCATGGAATATTTACGAGTTTTGATAGATTCAGGATCATCTTATAACAGAAGAAGCAGCTCAACTATTGGGATATCCTCGGCAGAAAATAACCGCAGAAGTCACTGGTTTGGGAGACAGTCCAAAACAATCCAAGTCAAAAATTCAGTGTGAGATCAAATCCCGATTCCCGAGCAATTTCTCACTATCAGTAAATTTCATAGTATTGCCAACCTTAACAAAAAAACTACCGAGCGAACCAATGATGCCTGAAATTCCAACCAATTGGAAGAATTACCCACTTGCTGACCCAACATTTCATCATCCTGGACCAATTGATGCCATTCTAGGAGCAGAAGAAGTTAGCCACATT